AACAGCAACTTTGTAGTGTTTTTTTCGTATGTTTTTTATAGATGTATTTGCGATTTTCTTGGTCTCATTTGATAGAATGGAAGACATATTACAGAAATAGAGATGATTTTGATTGGTTTTAGCACTGGAAATGGCTTGAAACTGAGCTCAAAGTAGCAGAAATGTTAAATTTTTGCCGATATTCAAGAGTAAACAAACGACCTCACACGTCTAATACACGTCAGCTGGTGGGTCTAATATACATTCACAAATATGGTGATGATATTTATACAATCATTACAGTATTGCATAACAGTAAATCTTCTATTTTTTGGTGTGAATAAAAATTCATTATGTGAATAAAAAATCAAAATGGAATTTATTTGTAAAGCCTCAAAACATAACTAATGAACAGAGGAAATGTTAGTTTAGTGCCAGGAATACCTACATTGTTCATTCTGGACCCTATTTTGAAATTGGAATATTTTGAACTTTGTGTTAAATTGGCAAATTAACAATTTCCGATCACTTTATTTTGTAGTTGAAACAGTTGACTTGGCAATTTCTTGTGCTCAATCGATAGAATAGAAGTAATACTAGTGAAATAGCTAAGAATTTGGTTGATTGGAATAATGTAATTGGCCTAAAATGGGAGTCAAAGTCGGCAAAATCGCCGATTCGTAAATATCGCTGACACATCAAAATTTGCGAGAGCATAATTTCGTCAATTTTCCACCGAATTTCATACTTTTTGTTTTATTACCTTCACAAAAAGATTCTCTACGATTTCATAAGAAAAAATAACAATTTTTTTTTTTAAAATTCTTGGACACTGGTGCGTGACTCCAGATTTGGGCCTTGGACCCTGAAAGGGTTAAAAAAAAAAAAAAAATATTTTTTCTTATGAAATGATAGAGAATCTTTTCCCAATTGTAATGACACCAAAAAAAAAACGAAATTTGATGGAAAACTGACGGAATTACGCTCTCGCAAAGTTAGCGACCTTGGCGATATTTACGAATCGGTGATTTCACCCACTTTGAGCCCTATTTTCGGCTGATTCCATTGTTCCAGTCGACCAAACTCATAGCTATTTCTTTAGAACTCCATTTTTTCTATCAATTGAGTACAAGAAACTGCCCATTTACCAATTTCAACTACCCAATAACGTGGTCAGAAATTGGCAATTTGGCCAATTTCACAAAAATTAAAAAATATGACAGTTTCAAAATAAGGTCCAGAATGAACAATGCAGACATTCCTGGCTCTAAAATAACATTTTCTTTGTTCATCAGTCATGTCTCCAGGCCCCTCTGATATTACTAAATACTAAATAACAAAAAGGCACAATACCGTGACTGGAACGATACACAAATAACCCGCACATAAAAGACAGAAGCTTACGACGACGCCTCGGTCCGACTTGGTCCAAGTCGGACCGAGGCGTCGTCGAAAGATTTACTATTATGCATACTACTCCAATACTGTAATAATTGTATAAATAACATCAACCCATTCATGACTGTATATTAGAATGGCTAGTTGGACATTTATTGGACAATGATGTCATTTGTTTACTTTTGAACATCGGCAAAAATCAAACATTTCCCCTAATTTGAGCTCCATTTCCAGGTTCTTTTTATAGTAAAATCAATCAAAATCATCTCTTTTTCTATAATATGTCTTCCATTCTATCAAATGAGACCAAGAAAACGAGAATACAACCATAAATACTATACAAAAATAAACCACAAATTCGGCATTTTAATTAAAAAAAACAGCCGGAGTTTTTTTTTTCTCATTATGCACTGCGTGCTCCAGGATTTTCTTTATGTTGTGCACACTGACCACACAGACCCATTCTCTCACATATGGGCCTACCAGCTTCTCCTTCTTGATTTGAAGCCGCTAGAATTTATGAGTATATATACGTCAAACACGGTACCTCGTAAGATGTATATATACGGCCGCGACAGTCAAAGGGTTAAACTATCCAAACGTAGATCTACGTTTTTTCAACATTTGAAAGTATGTAAAAAAACGTAGAGCTTCTTTTTTTTTTTTTGTTATACACCTACCATCCGACTTACGACCTGCTTGACATACGACCACTCGACTTACCACCATGTTTTTTATGCCAAATTTCTGGGAAATAAACAAGTGTTTGTGTTGTACACAGTGTTTATCCTAAACCTTACAGTATAAAATACAGTACTAACAGCATAAAAAGTAAAGTAAAACATGAAATACCAAAATAAAATAAAATAAAGTCATTACAAAAATGTTATGTTGATATTCAGTAGTAAAGTTCGACTTATGACCGGTTTCTCGGAACCGAACTCGGTCGTAAGTCGGATGGTAGGTGTATTTGAAAATATGTAAAAAAACATAGATCTACTTTTGGAGCACTACACATGTGAACATAGATCTGTTTGGACAGTTTAAGGGTTAACTATCAAATCCATTCATTCCCTAGGCTTCCTCAACTTATTAATCTCACTCCAAAACTTTTTCTTATTTTCAACAAAATTTGTTGATAACATCTCACCCACTCTCTCATTTGATCTCTTTTTACATTGCTTCACCACTCTCTTAACCTCTCGTTTTCTCTTCATATACTCTTCCCTCTTTGCATCACTTCTACTTCGTAAAAACCTCTCATATGCTAACTTATTCTCCCTTACTACTTTCTTTACATCATCATTCCATCAATTGCTCTTCTTCCCTCCTGCCCACTTTCCTATGACCACAAACTTCTGCTGAACACTAACACTACATTCTTAAACTTACCCCATACATCTTTGACCCCATTGCCCATACTCTCACTAGCCCATCTATCCTCCAATAGTTGTTTATATCTTACCCAAACTGCCTCCTCCTTTAGTTTATAAACCTTCACCTCTCTCTCACTTACTGCTTCTGTTTTCCTTGTATCCCATCTACCTTGTACTCTCAGTGTAGCTACAACTAAAAAGTTGGCGATTTTGCTGACTATTACTCCAGTTGATCAAATTCTTAGCTATTTCACTAGTATTACTTCTATTCTATCGATTGAGCACAAGAAATCACCAAATCAACTGTATCAACTACAAAATAAAGTGATCGGAAATTGGTAATTTGGCCAATTTAATGCAAAGTTAAGAATATTCTAATTTCAAAATAGGGTCCTGAATAAACAATGCCAGCATTTCTGGAACTAAACTAACATTTCCTCTGTTTATTAGTTATGTTTTCAGGCTTTACAAATGAATTCCATTTTGATTTTTTATTCACATAATGAATTTTTATTCAAGCCAAAAAATAGAAGATTTACTGTTATGCAATACTGTAATAATTGTATAAATAATATCACCGCATTTGTGAATGTATATTAGACCCACCAGCTGGCATGTATTAGACGTGTGGGATCATTTGTTTACTCTTGAACATTGGCAAAAATTTAACATTTCTGCTATTTTGAGCTCAGTTTCAACCCATTTCGCTTACTAAAACCAATCAAAATCATCACTATTTCTGTAACATGTCTTCCCTTCTATCAAATGAGATCAAGAAATCACAAATACAACTATAAAAAACATACGAAAAAACACTGCAAAGTCACTGTTTTAATCGAAAATTATGGTCTCAGTTTTTTTCCTCTCATTATGCAGTGTGTGCTGGAGGATTTGTTTTATGTAGTGTACACATACCACATAGATGTACTCGCTCATATCTAGGCCCAAATTTACCGCTCACAGCTTATTAGAGTGAGCTGAGCTCATGGCGTAGATCTACGGTTTGGACCCTCAACATATAGCTGTAGATACTCAAATAACCCGCACATAAAAGAGAGAAGCTTACGACGACGTTTCGGTCCGACTTGGACCATTGACAAAGTCACACTGTGTGACTTTGTCAATGGTCCAAGTCGGACCGAAACATCGTCGTAAGCTTCTCTCTTTTATGTGCGGGTTATTTGAGTATCGTTCCAGTCACGGTATTGTGCCTTTTTGTTATTTATAGCTGTAGATCTACGGCACGGACCCTCAACGTTTAGCTGTAGATCTTCGGCACGGACCCTCAAAGGGTTAAATGGTCCTCATTATCATTTACACCTGGCACCCCAAATTTACCTACCACACCCTCTCTAACTGTTTCTCCTACTTTAGCATTTAGGTTCCCTACCACAGTTACTCTCTCACTTAGTTCAAAAGTTCCTACACACTCGCTTAACATCTCCCAAAATCTCTCTCTCTCCTCTACACTCCTCTCTTCTCCAGGTGCATACACACTTATTTTGACCCACTTTTCACATCCGAACCTTATTTTAATCCACATAATCCTAGAATTTATACATTTATGTTCCCTCTTCTCCTTCCATAACTAATCCTTCAACATTATTGCTGCCCCTTCCTTAGCTCTAACTCTCTCTGATACTCCTGACCTAATCCCATTTGTATCTCCCTACTGAAACTTACCTATCCCCTTCAGCTTTGTTTCGCTTAGAGCTGGGACATCCAACATCTTTCTTATCATCTGCACTACATCTACACACATTCAAGCATCCCAGTTTTATAAAGTTTTTCTTCTTCTCTTGTTTAGTATTTTCTACAGGAGAAGGGGTTACTAGTCCATTGCTTTAGCATAAAAATACAAGAGGAATTAACATTTATGAAGAGATTCATGGAAACTTTCCTGAAGGTGGGAAGTACAGTGCCTGCACTCTGAAGGAGGGGTGTTGATATATTGCAGTTTTTTAACTGGAGTGTAGGCATACCTCTGGCAAGATAGTGACGGAGTGAATGATGATGAAAGTGTTTCTTCTTTTTTGGGTCACCCTGCCTCAGTGGGAAGCGGCCGATGTGTTAATAAAAAAATAATAAGGAGGAATTAAAATAAATGTTAATACTAAGAATACTTCAACAGCTTTATGTACAGTACATTCACTTTAAAAGCCGCAGAATAACCAAAATGGATTCTGGATGATGATGATCACTTGTAATTACCTATTTGTAATAGTGTGTTACTCTCCTTCTCTTCAGGCTCCATACCCACCATTGACCTTCATCCTGGCTAGCCGTGTTAGTGTCAACGCTGATCATCACTACATACTCAACATTGATTGTCGCTCACAGCAGGTGTGTGTGTGTGTGTGTGTGCACATGTGTGCGTGCTTGTGTGCATTGCACACGTACATTTTTAATTTTATAAACAAATTGAATGTAACATTGAAGGTGTAAAATTATTCAGATATTGTGCCTTTTTATTCTTGACTTCTGCTATTACCATTGCCACTTCTTTCACTACTACTAGACTTATTGCTATCTGTAATTCCCTATAGTTTCCACCTACACCCACCCAAAGAACTGTAAACATAAAATTCCTAATATAGCTGTTGTCTATTATATCTTATGTTAGTCTTACTAAATCTTAAGCTAATCCTAAGTTTGTCTAAGATACTCCTCCACTATGGCTTTAATAGAAACAATGTACAGTGCTCCCTCAATTATCATCCGTAATCCGTTCCTGGAAGTGGGACTATTTTCGAAAAAGACGATTTTCGAATCAATTTTCCCCAAAAGAAATAATGTAAATACAATTAATCCATTCCTGACACCCAGAAGTATTAAAACAAAAAAACTTTTTACATGAAATATAGATGTAGTACATAAACAATACAATGGCACATGATGAATGAAACATTAACAGCATAACACTTACCTTTATTGGCGATTCTTCTTAGTGTATGGAAGACTGGAGGAGGAGAGAGATTGAATTACTGTTTGGAAGGGAAATTCCCTTCCATCAACACCTCAGGTACCAAGTGCTTTTCTGGGGTTACTTCTCTTCTCTGTTTCTTAATGCTACTAGGACCACCTTGAGAGTCACTGAAGTCCTGCCTCGCAAAAAAACTATCCAGAGAGCTCTGTTTCTGGCGTCTCTTTAAAACTTCCCTAAAATGGGCCAAGACTGTCACTGTACAAGTTGCCGATATGGCTTGCAACATCCTTCTCAGGGTGATGTTTCTCCATAAATCTTTCCATCCTACCCCACATTTTAAAAATCTCCTTAATTTCTGAAGAAGGCACCTTCTTCTATCTCTCTTCCTCCTCCTCTGCAGCAAGATTCTGAGCTACAATCTGTTGCTGTTCCTGCTGAAGCTCTTGCAGCTCCTCAGTGGTTAGCTCTTCGTTGTGGTCCTCCACCAACTCTTCCACATCCTCCAAACTCACATCCAACCCCATGGAACTCCCCAATGTCACAATAGATTTCACAACTGACATAGGCTCATTAGGGTCAGCCACAAACCCTTCAAAATCCCTCTTGTGGACACAATCTGGCCACAAGTTTCTCCAAGCAACAACAGCTTCCTTGATTTCCTTTTTCTTGACTATGATGGAAGATATGGTTGTACAGGTTTTGTTATACAGCCTGGCCAGTTCGCCCATACGTATGCCACTTATATATTGTTCAATGATGCTTTTCTTAAATTCAGTCGTATTTCTCACCTTCTTTACCAAAGGCTTGGCACTAGGAGCTTTCTTTGGAGCCATGGTAGCTTATTTAGCACTTGCAAGCACTAAAATGAATGGAACATTATTAAATATTTCGTATGAACACGTGAGGGGACTGTCGCTCACTGGTAAACAATGGCACACTGGCTGGGAATTGAGGCCGAGCTGTGAGTACGTGTCCAGGACGAAAGACGATTAGCGAGTTAACGGACCATTTGCAAGCCAATGTTTTGACGAAATAATGGGACTATTTCTGAAATGGACAACTTTCAGGTCGGACGATTATTGAGGGACCACTGTATCATATCAGGACAAATTGATTCTCATTATGGACTAAATCTGCCATTTGTACTAATATTAAATGATTTGACTACCTAACTATCTTAAACCTAATTATGTATGTGCCTAACTGGTAATGTTCTTAGTTAAGTACCTAATGATACTGCTCAAATATGACCTATATCAAAATAGGGCAAGAATTAGTATTAGTCTCCCCAAAGTGCCTAGGCACGATAGTGGCCATCTTTGTAACTTAAATATTATAACATGTCAACCACTCATTGTAAGCTTTACAAGGAAATAAATATATGTATTTGTATTTGTCGGGAGCAAGGGGCTAGTAACCCCTTCTGTACAAATTACTAAATTTAAAAAGAAAAACTTTCGTTTTTCTTTTTGGGCCACCCTGCCTTGGTGGGATACGGCTGGTTTGTTGAAAAAAGAAAAAAATTGTATTTGTACTAGTAATGCTACTACTAATACTACTACTACTACTACTATTACTATTACAGTGCCCCACCATACGAGTTTTTCAGGATACAAGCAGTCGCTTGGTTGATTTTTGGATACGAGCAAAAATTCAGGATGCGAGCTTGCCCTTCAAACAACTTTTTTTTAGACCTACAGATCTTGCAGAAATAAAAGTGAATACAGTGGAACCCCAGATTTCGTACTTAATCCATTCCGTGCTGAAACCGAAGTAATATTTCCCTTGAGAAATAATGTAAATACAATAAATCCGTTTCAGACACCCAGAAATATTAACAAAAAATACATTTTTTAAAGAATAACTATAGTTTTACATACAGAAAACAATCATAACTATACTTTTACATACAGAAAACAATATTTTTTTTATTAAAAAATTATTTTTCATATGAAATGACAGAGAATCCTTTCCCAATGGTTATGACACCAAAAGTACAAAATTTGATGGAAAACTTAAAGAATTATGATCTCGTGAAGTTAGCAATCTCAGCGATATATAGGCTCGGCGATTTTGCCCACTTTGAGCCCTATTTTCGGCTAATTCCATTGTTCCAGTTGACCAAACTCATAGCTATTTCTTTAGAACTCCATTTGTTCTATGGATTAGGTACAAGAAACTGCCTATTTACAGTGGTCCCTCATTTTTCGTAATTAATCCGTTCCTGGAAGTGTGACTATTATCGAAATTAACGATTTTCGAATCCATTTTCCCCATAAGAAATAATGTAAATACAATTAATCCGTTCCAGACACCCAGAAGTATTAAAACAAAAATTTTTTTTACGTGAGATATAGATGTAGTACATATTATTTATTATTATTATTTATTATCACACTGGCCGATTCCCACCAAGGCAGGGTGGCCCGAAAAAGAAAAACTTTCACCATCATTCACTCCATCACTGTCTTGCCAGAAGGGTGCTTTACACTACAGTTTTTAAACTGCAACATTAACACCCCTCCTTCAGAGTGCAGGCACTGTACTTCCCATCTCCAGGACTCAAGTCCGGCCTGCCGGTTTCCCTGAATCCCTTCATAAATGTTACTTTGCTCACACTCCAACAGCACGTCAAGTATTAAAAACCATTTGTCTCCATTCACTCCTATCAAACACGCTCATGCATGCCTCCTGGAAGTCCAAGCCCCTCGCACACAAAACCTCCTTTACCCCCTCCCTCCAACCTTTCCTAGGCCGACCCCTACCCCGCCTTCCTTCCACTACAGACTGATACACTCTTGAAGTCATTCTCTCTACATGTCCGAACCACCTCAACAACCCTTCCTCAGCCCTCTGGACAACAGTTTTGGTAATCCCGCACCTCCTCCTAACTTCCAAACTACGAATTCTCTGCATTATATTCACACCACACATTGCCCTCAGACATGACATCTCCACTGCCTCCAGCCTTCTCCTCGCTGCAACATTCATCACCCACGCTTCACACCCATATAAGAGCGTTGGTAAAACTATACTCTCATACATGATGAATGAAACATTAACAGCATAACACTTACCTTTATTGGCAATTCTTCTTAGTGTATGGAAGACTGGAGGAGGAGATAGATTGAATTAGTTACTGTTTGGAGGGGTTATCCCCTTCCATCAAGACCTCAGGTACCAAGTGCTTTTTCTGGGGTCACTTCTCTTCTCTGTCTCTTAACCCTTTGACTGTTTCAGGCCCCTTTCTGAAACTGTCATTCTATGTCGTCAAATATTCGAAAAAAAAAATAATTTTTTCTTATGAAATGATAGAGAATCTTTTCCCGATGGTAATGACACCAAAAGTTCGAAATTTGGTCGAAAACTCACGGAATTACGCTCCCGCGAAGTTTGCGGAATCGGCAACATATGTGTATCATCGATTTCGTCGACTTCGAGCCCTGTTTTCAGCCAATTTCGTTGTTCCAGTTGACCAAACTCATAGCTATTTCTTTAGAACTCTATTTTATCTATCAGCTGAGTACAAGAAACCGCCCATTTACCAATTTGAACTACCCAATATAGTGGTCAGAAATTGGCAATTTGGCCAATTTCACGCAAATTAAAAAAGATGCCAATTTCAAAATAGGGTCCAGAATAAGCAAGGTAGACATTCTTGGCACTAAAATAGCATATCCTCTGTTCATTAGTCACATCTCTAGGCCCCTCTTATATTATTATTGCTTTCTATTTTTATTTTTTATTTATACAAAAAAATACAAAAATTTACTGTTATGCAGACTACTGTATTATTGTAAAAATGGTATAAATAATATCAGTGCACTAGTGAAAGAATATTAGACTCCCCAGCTGATGTGTATTGGACGTGTGGTGTGATTTGTTTACTCCTGAACATTGGTAAAAATCGAACATTTCCGCTAATTTGAGCTCGGTTTCAAGGTCGTTTTCATTGTCAAAGTAATGAAAATCATCTCTATTTCTGTAATACGTTTTCCATTTTATCACCAAAGACCATGAAAACGCTAATACAATGATAAATACTATATGAAAATACACCTCAAAGTCGGCGTTTTATTCCAAAAAAACGATCAGAGTTTTTTTTTTCTCATTACGCAATGTGTGCTGCAGGATTTTTTTTATGTGGTGCACACTGACCACACAGACCCATTCTCTCACATGTGGGCCTACCAGCTTTCTCCCGCTTGATTTGAAGCCGCTAGAATTATTGAGTATATATGCATCAGAAACATTGGCTCGTAAGACGTATTTATACGTCGAAAACAGTCAAAGGGTTAATGCCACTAGGACCAGCTTGTGAGTCACTGTACACCTGTGGCACTAAATACTTGTCCAGAGAGCTCTGTTTCTGGCATCTCTTTAAAACTTCCCTAAAATGGGCCAAGACTTTGTCACT